ACGTCAGGCTTAGCTTATAAAGCTAAAATAATTTTTTCTGTACAGATAAACAAAAAGTTATTTAGAGAAGTATTGCCACCACACCTGTCACGTATGAGAGAGGATGCATCTAGGGTGGTCTTACAAAAGGGTAAATGGAAATGTTCTGGCAATCTCTAAGCTTTACTTTTTTAAATGATTAGGTTAATGAAGGTACATCAATGAAAAAAGTAAGCAAACCATCCTGAAATATTACTTTATGATTACTATATGCGATGGCTTCGAGCAGATGAAAATTAATATTTGCATTTAAAAATTGTTGTGCAACATGAATCTATGTGTTTTAGGGTGAGCAAGACTTCTGCGAGCAAATACTTGAGCGCTACTTGAAGCCCAGCTTGTTTTGACACTAAGCACATCAGGAGGAGGTCACCAGAGAACTGAAGTCACTGCGCAAATCAAGGTCAAATTACTGTTACTGTATTGCATGTACTGTTTGTGCAAATGTTTACCGTTTGTCTAATGTATTGATAGTGAAGTCTAACTACAGAACAAGGAAAGCCAAAGATTAGTGAGAGCAAAAGTTGTTCTGTCTTTTTATGTTTACTAGCGTCTCTGCATTGGTGCGTATCTTGACCCACCATTCGTTGCCACTTGAAAACAGGGGATTCCTAGAGTGCACATGGCCACAGGCAATAATAACGCCAGTAAAAGTGAAGAAAGCATCATCAAAAACAGAAGCTTAGTTTGTTTCTCTGTGTAGCTTTTTTTGTTTTGCCTTAAAATGTACTCAACCTTTTTTCTATTGCTGACCAATAAGTCGTAATTATCAACCATCACTGCGATTCAAACATGTGCAATAAACACATTGAAAAGACTGAATGAAATGCGACGAATCAGAAAAAAATATTATATTAAAAAAAAAACTATATATATATATATATATATATATATATATATATATATATATAAAATATAATATTTTATATTATTTTATATACACACGCCATGCAGTCACACAGGGTTTTCAAGGCGCAGCACCTGAGCCCAATGAACCGGAAACAAAGAAACTATCGTGTTTTGGTATCTCTGCAGAACAACACCAAAACACGGTAGAGTTTTTTTGTTGACAACAACTAAGTTTGTAGCTCAGTGGGTGTGATCACAACCTTTGCAAGTAAAAAAAGCAATTAACGTACTTCATCACACCACCTGTTCAACAAGTTTTAAAAATTTAGAAAAGCTACATTTTCAACTTCTCCCACCCACCACGGTTTGTTTTATACAATGGCAATGCGCCAACATTAAGCTTATACTGAACTGTTATGAACAAGCTAAAAGGAAAATCTTCTGCGTAGACTTCAGCTTCATTTGACACAAACTTTTATAAACTTGTAACTAAAGCCTGAGACAGCAGCCGCCTCCTCTCAGCAGCATTCCCTGCAGCAGAGGGAGAAATGACTGATTGTGACCTTTGCCTGTGTTATTTATTCAGTGTCACTCAGCAAAACTGAATATGCACACTTCGATATTTGTTTATTTATCAGTCATATCGTCATCACAATATTGAACAGTATTATCGCACATCGCTAATTTTTCTCATATCGTGCAGGCCTACTTTTTTCATAAACAGACGATGATAAATGTTTGGTTATCGAAGATTGCAACCAAGCTATGTAGAGAGCGGGACATTTTACATTAAATTGAAAAATAATTTGTCAGTGTTGTCTGATAGACAAACTACAGTATGTAATGATGGCACTGTTTCTCAATTACTGCAAACATATCTTAGGCATTTCTCTAATGCAATATTTCTGTTACAAAGTGGTCAACATATTTGCTGATACAGATACATCTGTAATAAGTTATCATCACCTGATGATATTAGAATTTCAATTTGCTAACTTTGAAACGTTGAACAAGGAGTCGTGGGAAATTTTAAACCTTTGAGATGTTTATCTTAGTTAAAATTTTTGTCCATTTTGAATGCATGCTCACACTTTTCACAACATTTATCCACTACCATTGCAGGAAATAAATTGACATGTTGATAGTATTTTAGTATGAAGAGTTACACAAAAAGCATTAAATGGTCCCTCCTCCCCACAGGCTGTCTTCCTGTATTTCATCATCAACGTGCTGTGGGTGGTAGCTACCTTCTTCCTTCAGGCCATTGGAAATGATGTCATCAGCATCAAGATCCCTAAGTACTTTCCTAATGGAAGTGAATCTGGAGAAGTCCTCAAGGTGTGGGCAGACAGACTAACAGTCTTAGATACATGTGCTGCAACAAGCAACTGAACAAGGACTCCGACATATTTCTGAAGCAGCTTTAACTCCTGCTAAAAGTTATCACCATTACTGTCATTTTGTGTTGACAGGTGGAGCCTCTGAGTTTGATGTTCCTGTTATCTTTTGCTATTCTTCTCCTTGTCCAGTTCTTGGCTATGTTATATCACAGGTACGTACACACACACACACACACACACACACACACACACACACACACACACACACACACACACACACACACACACACACACACACAGGTGTATGTGCCACACCCACTAAATTCTCATCACTTTTGCAGTGGTAAAATCTGATTTTGTATTTGACAGGCTCACTGCTCACAGACTAACCTTGAAAACTAAGCAGGAAACATCCTAACTTTCAGATACTGCAGTGGCAAAGAAACACCAAAGTTTTTCCAGTGGTACTGAATATTTCCCCCACCAGGACCAGGGGAATTTTGATTGATGAATTCCTGCCTTTACGGAGAATTATAATGATATCCCCTGTTGTTATCAGAACTGTTGTGCATCTATTGCCTCATTTTCATTTTCCATATTTTCTACTTTTGTTTTATCTTGGTGCCTCTGTTTGCAGGATCTACACACTGATCCATGTGGTTTCCTATCGCAGCACAGAGAAAGACTATAAAGAGAAAGATGATGTAAGTAACAAACCTCAAAACACACACGTGCATACACTCCTAACACTGCAGGGGTTTGTTTTTTTGTTTTGTTTTTTTAAATTGGAATCCTTGTCAGGTACAAGACTTGCAGAGGCTTGATTATATTAAGCCACTATGCCACTTGGGCTCCTCAACATACCATTGTTAAAGAGAAGAGCCAAATTGTAAAGCAGAACTACACACAAATCTAAACTTCCCTATCAAACACTAAAACATAATGACAGCTCGTTCAGACACCCAGATAAAGATACTCTACACTTTGGTGTCTTTTGCATCAGTGTTTGCAGTACATCCGAAAACTCACTCAAACTGTAACTGACTAGGACTTAAAAGCACCCCGACCACAAACCAGCCAAACACTGCTGGCACAACATACTACACCGTCTCTGACACGATTCACGCACAGTATGGTGTATTTGCAGCAGAATATGCATTCAAATGGGATTTTAATATAGACTATTGCACAAAAGAACATTTAATCATAACAATAAAATGTAGAAAGTGAAATAAGTGATACTTAAGAAGGTAAGTGCATGAATGTAATAGCTATGGACCAAATGGAAGTGGTAAAGAAAATTAATTATTCAGATCATAGATTAATAGCGGTGGTGTGAGGAAAAAAATGTAAATGAATCGTGAATGACTAATGCACTGCTAGAAACTGCACAAACTATAAAGTGTCTAAACTTTAGATTGAAAGCACTATGCTGTCAAACACATAACACATTCTTGAGAATTTTTAGCCACAGCTCATTAATACTACAAAATTATGTTTCAGATTAATTAAAATAAAGCATTCATGATACTGATACATAACTTACACATGTTTTGTCCGTCAATTTAACATAAGCACAGGCTGAAATGCAAAGGCTTTTACCTAGTTTTAAACAGTACAGATCTTCATAAGCAGTGGAATGTCTTTTCCAGCTTTAATTTTCCTGAATTAATATATTGGTCTATTCTGGCAGTGTGCCACAAATAAAATTAAATGAGCAGCAGGATTCTGGCTAACAGCTGACCCCATATACATGCACTAGTTGCAACGCAATGTAGTTATTAAAGCAAATTACTAATTCTACACAGTAGCTCAACTTAAAACAAGGACGGATGATAAAAATCCAACAAGCAACTACCAGACTTCTGCATATGCTGGCAAAAAAAGTTACACACAGCAAGGCTACTAAAATGACAACTAAAATGTCAAAAATAAATAAATTGGAGGGTTCCTAATTTGCCCAAACAGCCTCGATCCGAGGTGTTGGCTGTCTGAGTTTGGTCAAACTTCAGTAACCTTGACTATGATATCACACAAACAGAAAATTCAATCAGCAACTGCACATCCAGCAGGAAAGTCATGTTAGAGACAGACACAGCTAGTGATTTACCAGGGGGAAAGGAGGGAGAGTGTGTCTGATTCACCTACCGGTAGAAGACCAGTCCTCCGTGGTGGTGAAATGTTCAGATATGCCGTCGACGTCGCATTTTCCTCTACTGTAGCCAACTTCTTGTCTTGTATATTTTGAGTGTCAAAGTCTATGCTGTCATGTCCTCCGACACCGTCCTCCTTGTTAAACCGGGTGCAGGTCCGTCGGCCTCCCATCAGCTTTTCCTCAGTCCTCCATGTTGAGCCAATGTAAGCAAAGCACGCTCTCATACCCATGTAGCTAATGTCATTAGCACTGCTGGAAAACCTGCCATTTAAACCCACTTTATTCCATTTAAACAACCTCGCTATCTTTCTAGGGTTTAATAGGAGTGGAAAAGGCCACAGTGGATCCACCTCATAGATTTTACCTGGGTGCTGGCCGTTTGCAGCAGGTTGCCTGTGGCCCGAGGGTGGAGTTTTTAATCAAGGCAAAACTTATTTCACCTGTGTTCCTCTCGGGAGAAACAACCGCCCAATTACAGTGCAATACAATCTGCCACCGCACAATACGACGGACTTTACCATCTATTGCAATTCAGGGGGCGCTGTTTCACTAAGTAACCTGGTGGATATTTGGGGATATATTGATTCACTGGAAAGTAGTCTGACAGTAGTGAATGACACAAAAATATTTTTAAGCAGCTCATGACATTGTTTTTTGTGTCTTTCTGTCATTCAGGAGGATGATGACGATGGTGGCATAGCTCTGGAGACCCACTTTACCAATGGACTTGCCATTACCAATGATGACCTGTATCAGTAACAACCAACTGTAACCACTGAAGTCCGACAACCAGCACACATTGGCATCACCTGGGAAGGCAAAATGGCACAAGGGATATCAGTTAAAACAGGCTCATTAAGCTTTGCTTGACAAATTAAAATGAGGAATTGCTTTTATTCAAAAGTCAAAAAGATCTCAGGTATGATCAAGTGTTTTTTATTTGAATATTTTTACTCTTAATACTTGTATTTATTCTGTTTAAGTATGGTTGAATACATTAGGTTTACAGACTAATTAAATGCCATCTGAAATCGAGGGTGTAAGATTTAGGGTGTTGTTTGTTGAACAGATTGTACATCCCATTGTAAAATGATTTAGGAGGGTTGAAGGTAAAACAACAAACTATAAGAAAGGCAGTGTAATCTCTTGATTGTTTTCTTCTCATTTAATGTATCTGCACCAAAATCAGTTATTTTGTGAATTACAATAATGGGATGGATGAAGATGGAAACAAATGATTTTTATTTGTTCAAGAATTATCTCCTTTGCAATTCAGGTTACAGTATTAATAAATTAATTCATTACTCTCAGGAAACAGTGCCAGTCCTTCACAGATTTTTAAATGCAATATTTGCATATGAAATATTGTGAGAATTACTTTCATCATTTTATTGGTAAATCTCACATATTTTATACTCTAAATACTTTCTAGTTTAAGTTACACTGTGTTGCCTTTTTAATATTGTGTTGGGGATCTTATCAGTGTAATTATGTGTACCAACTGTAAAAATGCACTTTACAAAGGGAGAGAATCTTCTTGGAAAGATTTTGGTAAATTGTTCAGGAAACTACTGAACTGATTAAACTAAATATGTGGACAATCTTTGTATTGTAAAAAAAAAAAAAAAAAAAAGACAATAAAGCCTTTTCTGTATTATGTTCTGACTTATATTCAGCTGCTCTTATTCATTTTCACACCCCATTCACACATGCTACATGAGTAAAAAGGATATTTTGTCTTTTGACTGAATACAAAACCTATATTTTTCTTGTTTTTTCTAACTGTGGAGACTTTGAAAGAAATGTGTTAATTCAACTCTATTCAACAGTGAAAAGGCAGTTAAAAAAATTACCTTACCATCTAACAATGCTCTAATGCTGGGATATGTAGACCTATGACAATATTTTTTCTGGTGTGTGTGGGATGATAGGAGGGGAACAAGGTTTGACTGCTGTGCACAAAAACTGTACCCCTGCACCTAAATGGTGTGGGGGCAAGTGGGATTTAATCAGTTAGCTAAAGGAAGAGGGCATAACCTTGTGGGTAGTGTACTGGTTCCAAAAGCCTTATAAATAAACCTTATAATTTGAGTTGTGTGCAGTAGATTTAGTTGATAGTCCCATCTTAAAATCATAAAATTTTGTAAATTAAATTACCTATATTGTTAGTTATCCATTAATGCACTTATGATCTTAAAATCCAGCTAACTAAAAGTATTATTTATATGTATACCTTAAAACATTGTACATCGTATACAGTTGAAACCAGAAGTTTACATACACTGTATAAAAAGACTTTTTTTTCTCACTGTCTGACAATAAATCAGACTAAACTTTTCCTGTTTTAGGTCAGTTAGGATTACCAATATTATTTATATTTGCTAAATGCCAGAATAATGAGAAAGAGAATTTTTTAGACAATTTTTTATTACTTTCTTCAAAGTCAGAAGTTTACTTACATTTCATTAGTATTTGGTAGCATTGCCTTTAAACTGTATGGCTTGGGTCAAACATTTTGGGTATCCTTCCACAAGCTTCTCACAATAGTTTGCTGGAATTTTGGTCCATTCCTCCTAACAGAAGTGGTGTAACTGAGTCAGGTTTGTAGGCCGCCTTGCTCGCATACGCCTTTTCAGCTCTGCCCACCAATTTTCTATAGGATTGAGATCAGGGCTTTGTGATGGCCACTCCAAAACATTGCCTTTGTTGTCCTTAAGCCACTTTGTAACTGATTTGGCAGTATGCTTAGGGTCATTGTCCATTTGGAAGACCCATTTGAACCCAAGCTTTAAGTTCCTGGCTGATGTCTTGAGATGTTGCTTCAATATTTCTACATAATGTTCTTTCCTCATGATACCATCCATTTTGTGAAGTGCACCAGTCCCTCCTGCAGCAAAACTCCCCCACAACATGATGCTGCCACCCCCGTACTTCACAGTTGGGATGGCATTCTCAGGCTTGCAAGCTTCCCCCTTTTTCCTCCAAATGTAACGATGGTCATTATGGCCAAACAGTTCAATTTTAGTTTCATAAGAACACAGGACATGTCTCCAAAAATTAAGGTCTTTGCCCCTGTGTGCATTTGCAAACTGTAATCTGGCTTTTTTATGTTGCTTTTGGAGTAATGGCTTCTTCCTCACTGAGTGGCCTTTCAGCCCATGTCGGTACAGGACTCGTTTCACTGTGGATAATGACACTCTCTTACCAGCTTCAGCCAGCATCTTCACAAGGTCTTTTGCTTTTGTTCTGGGGTTGATACGCACATTTCGCACCAAAGCACGTTCATCTCTGGGACACAGAACCCGTCTCCTTCCTGGGCGATATGATGGCTGGACATTCCCATGGTGTTTATACTTGCATATAATTGTTTGAACAGATGAACGTGACACCTTCAGGCATCTGGAAATTGTACCCAAGGATGAACTAGACTTGTTGAAGTCCAGAATTCTCTTCCTGGTATCTTGGCTGATTTCTTTTGATTTTCCCATGATGTCACATAAGGAAGCAGTGTGTTTGAGGTGTGCCTTAAAATACATACACAGGTGTGCCTGTAATTAACTCAAACATGGTCAATTAACCTATCACAAGCTTCCAAAGCCATGACATCATCATCTGGGCTTTTCATCTGGCATAGTAATCTAAGTGTATGTAAACTTCTGACTTTGAAAAAAGTAAAAAAAATTGTCTAAAAATTTCTCTCTCATTATTCTGGCATTTAGCAAATATAAATAATTTTGGTAATCCTAACTGACCTAAAAACAGGAAAAGTTTAGTCTGATTTATTGTCAGACAGTGAGAAAAAAAAAAAGTTTATGTGTCTTTTTATACAGGGTATGTAAACTTCTGGTTTCAACTGTATATGCTCATTTCACACCCCATTGAAAAGAATGAAGACAACTTCAGTTGAGCTTTTTTAATGAATAAGTCATGTCATTCAAATGAATGGAAGCAATAGAAACAATTATTAAATAGAGGCAATTGCAAAGCAATTATCCAACATATTTTCGGGGAGAGGTTTCAGCTGTAGGTAAGGCAGCAACCTGACATTGAGCACAAGTGTAGAGATTAAACCCCATTTAATCACTTTTTTCTATGGGCGTACAGGAGAAATGCAGCGCCTCGCACATGACAGTGTCTGCAGTACAGTGCACCTTCATGGTACTGCACACCGAGTTATCCAATGTAGTCAAATTGTTATGTCAGGATGGTGTGCATTCTATTTTGGACAAAGGCTCAAGCCTGATTGCTGCCACTGCTCCCCAAACATCCAGTAAAAAAAAGATAAACACTTTACCTGAAACTCACTGAATGACACATTCAAACTTTCAATTCATGTCATCACATAATATAAAATGGGTTGATAAGCCAGTGTTTTTGATTCTCTGCCATTTAAGACATAAGAAGTCAATTAATTACCAATTTATGTAGTCAAAACTGTTAGGAACATGTCATTTCATGAGTTTCATCGAATGTGTCACCTAAAAGAAACACTGGCTGCCAGTGGTACTGTGTTATTACACTGTACACAGAAAAAACGATCTTAAACCCTTTGGATGTGGCTTCATGGAAATACATTTTATTCTTCAGATAATATGTTTACTTTATATTTGGAAGCTATAATTTAATGTACTGTGGATTCAATTTATGAATACTTGATAGTTTACAATTCAGCTTGCATCATGATGGAGACTTCCCACCAGCCATACATCGAGCCCTCTCACTGACAGCCAATAAAAACCACTGCCAGCCCAGATGAGTGACAGTCAGTCTTATCAGTCACAGGTTGGTTCTTCAGTAATCAAAAGCTTGGCTGAAGCTGCGTTTGTGTCCTCCTCTGTTGCTATAGCCACCGCCGCCATTCCGGAACCCATTACCACGGCCACCATTTCCCCCGAAATTCCGTCCCCTTCCACCTCTGAACCCTCCTCCTCTGTCACTGCGGTTACCGCCGCCAAACCCTCTGTCACCACGGTTACTGAACTGCTTCTCCTCCAACTCTGGAAGTTCTGTGGCTACAGTCAGTTGCCAACGGCGACCATCCTTCCAGTTCTCCTGTTGTGGGATCAAGTGAGGTGAAAAGGAAGAAACAATCAAAATATTTCATATTTTACTTTGGATTATACATTTTCACAAATTTAATTTTGACAATATAACATTTTCACTGTTGTTCTCACCTGCATCTCCTTGACTTTGTCAACTGGGACATCAAAACATACTCCCTGTTAGAAACACAATAAGGACGAGATGGTGAGTGTTTTTTATCCCACTCTGCCTTTCAGAGGAGTAAGTCTATGTACCTACTGTGCTCTCAAAATAAGAGCCACAAAAGGTATGGTCACAGCTAGAGAGGTTTAGTTTCTTGTGAACATATGTTTTTTCTGTTTACTTGTTATGGATAATTAGCTGAATGGAAAAAATACTGTTTTTAAGAAGAAATTTCACCCGGTCCTTTTCTTAATTAGCATCTTAATTTATCAGTTGGTTGCAGTGTATTTTTCCATTAGCCAACTCTATTATTACCATGTGGCACTCTGGGAGGCTTTTTTTTGGCAACTCACTACTATTACTATCAACATGAGTCATTGGCTACCATTTGGGCTGAATTGTTTGTAACCTACATCCCTGTTCTCACTTCAAAACTGTATACACGCTATGAAATATACTCTTCATGCTGCAAAGATTACACAAAACCCTATTCTTGCTGTCAAATGTCATACAGCCATACCATAACACAACATAATCTAAAACTGAGGGAAAGTAAGTACAGTATATATACACCAGAAACACATCACATATGTACATGTTTGTGTGTGTACATACTGTTTTGCCTTTAAGGAAGGTCATTCTTTGAATGTGGTTCTCAATCTGTTCTCCAAGCTGCTCTTTGATGGTTCTCCAGGCGTAACCCAGATTGTGCATCTCCTGAGAACACACCAACTGCATCGTGGTGCAACCCTGGAAATATAAATAAGAATAATATGTTAGGTGGAATTAGGGTTACTCATCACCTAGAAGAACAAGAAGTTCATGGAGAAATCTAAATGGAGAATAGGCGCTACATTTTCAAGTGCGTAAAAGGAATAACATTTCAGGTGCGAATGTGTGTATCCAAGGTTGTTTGCTTCTTTGTCCTACCCCCATAGGTACCTGTGCTGCATGTAACACTGTGGTCCGCCATGAGCAGACATAAAGCTTTCTTGTGTAGAAAAATACTGTGTGTGAGGGATGAGCTGTGATCGCTGTAATACGAGAAGCACATCGAGTTTTTTGCTGTATATATTGTTTATGTGCGCAACTTACAGCATCAGAGTTGAGCAGTGACCTTTGCTCTAGACTTGTGGCTCCAGAAATATGGGCCAGTGCAGCAGCTAGTGCATCAACAGCTCCTCTCTCCTCAATTAGCTTCTCAGCTGATGCTCTGAAGTAACCGATAGCTGTGACCGGAACAGAGTCCAGAAACCTGTACACAATATAGAAATAAAATCATAACAATCTGACACTGAATTCCTTGCTATCAGGAAATTAGTTTCACATTGAGCAGCATCATGATTAAGGAGATTTGAGTGAGACAGAGGCTTTGTGGAGACACTGTTTAAAGTCAATGTAACCAGTTTAAACTAAGCTAAGTTCCCTGAGTAATAATAGCAGTTCTCTCACTTCGCAGAATAACGCACCTGACAGCATCCTTGCTTGATGACTTGATGATATCATTGGCGGTGGGAACGCCAACTCGTCTGAATGTGATACCCTAGATGGGAACAAAATAAAATATATTTAGTTTGGTAGTCAATACACAAACATCTGAAGTAGTCACACATAGGGTTGAGGATCGAAGCCTGGTTCCAAATTAGAACTGGTTCAAAAATGCCAAGAGGCAGAGTACCTGAAAAAAAGAAGCGAATTTTGGTTCTGCTTATCGGTTCCTACACATCTACAAGAATGAAAGACTGTGCAGTGTTTCTTGCTGCTGCTGCGAATCATAAAGCTCAGTAACTGCGCATCGGTCCAGCCTCAATTTACCTTTGGATGAATAAATGCAGTTTGCCATTTACTCTCATGCTTCTCTTGCTGGAGTGAATTTACTTCTGATTACAATTTTAACTGTGATTCTTGGCCACCATTGTTTTTTTCCTTAATATTCTCCAGAGCATTATTTCTTCCTTGAAATGCCTTGATTCAAGAGTATAATCCCTGCGCGCCTCGGTGGCTCACCTGGCAGAGCGTGTGCCATTAGGACTCAGTCTTTACCACAGCAGCCTGGGTTTGAATCCGACCCACGGCCCTTTGCTGCATGTCATCCCATTTCTCTCACTGCTACTCTAATAAAAGGCATGGAAAAGCCCAATAAATAAATAAATAAATATATATAAAATCCCTTTTACATTTGCATGATGTCCTAGTAAAATAAGGGACAAACAAAGATGGATGTTTGTCACCAGAAAACTAAAATAAAACAACTAGCAGTTAGTTTAATTAACTACTCTAGACAGATCTATCTTAAAAAATGTTTAATGCACATGTCTGAGGTTCATATGCTTTTATTGTAGTAAGAATTAGTTAATGGTAAATACTATTTACTTTGCAAATGTTCGATTAATGCTTAAATGAATTTTTGTTTTCTAAACACCCAACCAATCTAATCGTTTTGGAATCTAAAGAGGGAATCAATAAAAACTGGAAATATTAAGCACAATCACAATCATAATCGATAAAATTCAAACGATATCCAACCGTAGTCACACAGCTTGAATGGAATGTCCAAAAGCAGTTTTGTGGTCAATAAAACGTTCAGTTTTCCCACTATGTACAACTACAGGGAAAAAGTGACTTTCAGTCTAGGTTTCTATACAATACAACAACACCTCCTTCAACTCTGGTTTCTCTGATGAAGCACTCCTTCCTCTACCTTTATGTAGTCCACTATTTTTGATTCTTTCCCTCGTGTACATTTTCATCCCATGTGTAGCACAGATGTGAAAGCTTTTTCGTTTTGGTAGAGCTGCTTAAACAAGTAAACCTGTCGCTTTTTTTTTTGCCATTGTCTTCTGCGCCTTCCACCAAATATAAAAAACACATACTGCTTTGTTTTCTACGTAGCGCAGCTGGTCCTCTTCTTTCCTCTGGTAGAAACAGATGCAGACTCCAGTCCTGCCTGCTCGGCCTGTACGTCCTGAGCGATGGATGTATGATTCCACATCCTGACAACAACCACAGAGATAGCAAAAATGTTCAGCAAAAGTAACAAGCCTCCATGATTCCTAAGTGTACAGTTAACATTCATCCACCAAGTCCAGTAAGTGTTAATTTCTTCATTTTTCATTCATCAACAAGTGCACATGTGTATTGCAGCTGTTTCCATTTTCAATGTGAAATCATCAATGTGAACTAAATCTTCCCCTTTAAAATTAGAACATATTCATATATCCAGCCTCTACATATGAAAGAAATGGCTCATTGAATAAATGCAAAGATATATTGAAGTTTTCGTAGATTGATGGTAACACGTGACACCTTGGGTGGAGAACACTGGATCACCAGATCGACTTCAGGGATATCTAATCCACGGGCTGCAACGTTGGTGGCAACAAGAACCTCAAAGGAACCATTCCTGAAGCCCTTCAGTGTCAACTCTCTCTGTTTCTGAGGAATATCCCCATGGAGGGACTGGGCACTCTGAAAACATACAAACAAAATAAATGAAAACTACAGAATTTGCTTGTTTTTTTGCAGCTGTATCTTTTCTAATGGTAATGCTCTGGGGAAATTGACACAAATACACTGCAACACAATTAGAAAATGAAGACAGACAATGTAACAGCCTTGGTTAACAAATGAATGTGTCAACTTCCAAATCTTACAAAACTGTCAAAATTATTATTTTTATGGGATATGCGATAGTGACAGATGGTCATCTTGCAAATTAAAAGTGTCATGTACTGCCAGTGTATGAAATGGCTATTCACAAACTGCCAAGTGTGTGTGTGCATAAGTGTGAGTGTGTCTCCACCTGTTTGATGGATGCATTCATGGAAAGTTCGTTGGCATCTTTCTTTGTCTCACAGAACACAATGGTTCTGCCATGGCTGCCGCTGTAAACTTGGATCACATCACCTATCACGGCTGCACGCTGTGACCAGTGGCATGCTATGGCCAGATGCTGCAGAAGAGAAGGCAGACAGAGGCAAAAAGAGCAACAGAGATAGACAGTGAGAGGGACACCAGGAGATAAGAGATATTTCCATTAATCCTACAGGCAGACTTGAACTTCATCATAATTCCGTTTGTGACGATGATAAATAAGGCATTTTTACTGCAAATGAACTTGCTGTGCTTTCCGTATGGAAATATATGTGAGCTTATTTCACAGCCTCAATTACTTTAACTGTCTCTGCTTACAGGCATCTTTGAAAAATCTAAGCCTAAGAACTAAGACTGCTGTAACGCTTGTTAAATCGCACCCATCACATACCTAATACCCTTTTTCACCTCTTCCAACAATTTCTCGCACACACGTTTACTCTTGTCATTTGTGAGAAATTTCATACACATTAATTTCTTGGCGGCTTACTTTTACCAATCCTATAATCACTACTTGTCCTACTTGACTAACCCTAACTCTAACCATAAGCACTGACCCAGAAATCTGCCTTTGTCCCCAATTGGACAAGCCATCCCCAGGTCTTTATTCTGAAATTTGTCCCTAAAAATAACAAAAATAACACACACACACACACACACACACACACACACACACACACACACACACACACACACACACACACACACACACACACACACTTACTTCAACAGTTGTTGCAGCTTTCTGTGTTTTCTTGCCAATCAGGTCAACATGTTTGCATTCTGGTCTCATGTATTTCTTGGCCACATCGTAGACCCAAGAGGGGCAAGTAGCCGAAAACAGCATAGTCTGAGGGTTGGCGTCACACTCTGAACAGGAACACGCACACGGACACACAAAAACAAAGTGTTGTAATTGTGGAGAATTGTGGAGAGGACCACACTCTCACCTCCATAACTCTGATCAGTTCAACTAGTTTTTCTGTGATTTCACAAACATCATACTACCCCCAGAATTTTATGTACCATGTCTTAAAAAACATACCCCAAATTATTTACACTCTGTACTGTACACATAAATATGAACACAGAATACACATACATGCTCAATCTAAAAGAAATTGCAGGAACCATTAACTTTTTTAAAAACATTTCCAACTATCAATTTACAAACCAGCACATACAGATTTACTTTACCTCTATTATATGATGAAGCCAAAATTTCTTCAACCTGCTCTGCAAATCCCATGTCCAGCATTTGGTCCACTTCGTCCAGGACAACATGTTTCACTTTTGAGAGGTCGAGTTTATTGTTCTGGAGGTGGTCTTTGACACGACCAGGGGTTCCAATCAAAATATCAATACCATTACGGATAGCATCAACTAGACAGGAGGAGAGGAGTGGAGACAGTCACTATTGATATTGATTTACAAAGTATGCTATTAAAAAAGTGTTGTCAAACAAGCAGACAAAAACAACATTCAAAACAAGTATGAATAAATGGACAAATGATTTTAACTATTTCAAAAAGGACTTCTATTAAACAAAACTGAGTTTTTGCGTAGACTTACTCTGTGGGTGGTATGAGCTACCTCCATAGAAACAGGCGATAGCCAGTCTCTTGGAAATGTCTTTGAAGTCCTTAGCGACCTGGATAGCTAACTCTCTGGTTGGTGCCAACACCAGAACCTACAGACATACAAAAGAGACTTAGTCATACACAAACATATTCAGGGAGCAACCGATACTGGGACTCTGACTGATGCTAGTTTTCATTGATTGGTGTTTGTGTGTGTGTGTGTGTGTGTGTGTGTGTGTGTGTGTGTGTGTACCTTGGGAGCCCGGCCTCTGGTCGGAGTCAATGCATCCTGAAGCTTCTCAACCAAAGGGATGGCAAAGGAGAAAGTTTTTCCTGTTCCTGTTCGGGCTTGGGCAATTACATCTTCTCCATCGTATACAATATTAAATGTCTTCACCTGAATGTCAAACAGGTAAGAGACTCCCCGAGCTGAGAAAGTGATACAAAGCGGAGTCACAGGACAGGGAAAAAGACAGACAATCAAGGGTAAATTTGTTATTTAGCAAAGCTCCAAAGCCCACTGTTAACACTCCTATATACATTTTCAGTCAAAAAAACAAACAAAAAACAAACAAACAGAAAAAAAAACGTCCATGACAGTGATCAGTAAATTTAAAATTCAAATGTCCATTATTTAAGTGCGCCATGTGTCAGATCACTTCTCAAAATCCGACAAATTATGTCAATTGTTGATTGTCAATCAAAATGCCTGTGTATGCAATAACAAAGGTAAGTGTTCAAACATAATAAATATTTTATAAAGTGATGCTCATCAACCAAGTTAAAGCATAGTCTTCTCAGCTTTGCACAGAACAGCAAACATTTCAGATGTTGGGCATGTACCAGTACAGCTGTGGTCTTGAGCCACAGTGGTAAAAACAATGGTATAATTATGATGTTTACCTTTCAGTTTACCGATGGTGCCCTCAGAGATCCTGAAGTTGGAGAAGGCCCCTTCCCTCTGCTCTGGTGTCTCTTCCTAAACAGATAAACAGAGTCAATCTATATGACTGTTTCCTCTCTACAGCTGACAATGCAATAAGACCACAATTAAATTAAACTAAAATTTGTGAATCTGTTAAATGCTTGAAAACATGCAGATCTGGGAAATTAGCTGCTTAACAAATCGATTACAAAATGGCAGTTTTCCAATATGATAAAATGTAGAAATATCATATAAAAAATGTGACACCTACAAATTGTATAGTAATAGTAACAGCTTCCTAAATGGAGTCATCATACACTCAGAATCAACACAAACTTTCAACTTCTGGGATGAAAAACTGTTAACAGTCAGCCCTAGAGTCATACCGTTTCTTTTTCACTGTCACTGGCTGACTCTTCACTTGACTGTGAAGGTGTCTGGATGGGCGTCTGAACAGGGGTGTTTGAGGTGGAATGTCCGTTGGTTGCTGCCTCTGCAATTGATTTCTTTTGCTTCTTTTTTTTTTTCTAAAACAAAAGACGAAAGTGGAAACAAAGCATGACCTTTTCTACCAGGGCATAGCCAGAGAATTTATATCATGAATATTTTAATCAGCCAACAATCACCCCTACAGCCTTTTCACAATTTAACAGGAAACATCATCCAGTGTCCCACAGAACAACAAAGATTAGATCTTCTCAGAAAGAGAATCTACTAGTATATTGTTGGAGTATTTCAGGCTATTAAACCTAAAATTGTTTAATGATTTATACTAGTGGATATTTAGGTGCTAAGGGTAAGTTGTGGTTTAAACATCTGCCTCAGGGAAACTATTTACAACCACTGATAAGGACCACTCTATGGGCATGTGTAGGGGGGCAGCCGGAGGTAACAGAGGTAGAGAAGTGGTAATTTATGTGTAAACACTAACTGTCTTCTTTTTGGTGCGCTGAGTTTTAGGTTTCGCTTAGGGTCGGAGGCAGATGTGAAGGAGGAAGCCAGCAGAGCCAATCAGAAGACGACAAAACGCCCGTGCACATTTCTTTGTTTGTATCTGTATAAATACACTGGATCAGGGAAAGTTAGGTCATCAGACTGTGGACTGACCAACACTTGTTATTGGTTAGGGAAATACACATCTGATCCAGAATTCTGTAATTGTTCATTGTTCATTGCTTGCTGAAAAGATTCACTAAAAAAATTTATCTAAATTCTTCGGTGTGGACATTCACTGGTCTTTTGAGTATTTTTGAACACTGCACTCACCCCGTGGGGAGGGGTGAGAGTTTTTCCTCTAAATAGCAGAAAGCTCCTTCAATATACATATTTGTAGTAATAACACAGCACTGACCTCTGTGTCTCCTTCAGTGTTCTTCTTAGTCTTCTGCTTTGGTGTTTCAACACCATCACTGTTGCCATTCATGTCTGTGGCCTCATCTAAGTGGCCGTTCACTTGATCCGCGCTCAGCTTGTCTTTTTTCTTTTTCTTCTTAGGTGCTGGAGGTTCACAGCCTGGGTCCTCCTGTTCTTCCTGGTCCTCCAACTCCTTCTTCTTCTTCAACTTCTTGCCCTCCTTGGTCTTGTTCTTCTTTTTTTACAGAAACAATAAAAACAAACAGGTTTCAGTTAAACCAAATACCATGCAGTTACTGTTAAGTTTTTTTTTTTTTTTTTTTTTTTTAGAAAAGCCTTATTTTCTAAAAGATGTGTTTCACACATTTAAAATTTACATTGTATTTTAGTTTAGTTTAAGTTTAGATTACACATTAATAAGAAAGGTTAAAAATTAAAGTATAGTGTATTTGAGTTGTGCAACCAAGGATACACTCAGATCAAGTCAACCATTTTTATAAACAAAATTTGCATTCACATTAAGTGCATTGCTTTTGATTGACTAATTATCCATCAAGGTAAAATCAATCAACAACCGTTTTAATGGTGACTTAATCAAACCCCTTTAGTCTCTTTAGATTGCTGCTCCAACTTATTTTGATTTTGGGAATGGCTATTTGTAAGGCTATTTTCAAAAGTTTTGACACTTTACATAGTGCATAATTAATCATCATAAGTTATCAATTAAATGTCAAAGTTCGTAGAAATAGTACTTTTACAAAGAAATCCAAACCTCAGATAAACTAACTGTAAAGGGTGCATGAGTTGGAAATTTTGTTTTGAGGAAAACTCTCAATAATCAATAAAAGCAGCTATAATTATATGAACTTTTTGTATATTTGACAGCTGACGAGCACAGCTGTATAACACGACATCCGGTTGCGTCCACAGCAGCGCAGAAACACGCACATGTAAACAGTCTGTTAAAGAACTCCACGCTGTGATCTACAGAGCAGCTCAGTAACACGTGGACAGGCCATGTGACCTCACAGCTATGCTACATGGCTACATTGGCAACGTGTGCTAGCATCATTCTTACCGCAATTGATTACATTAAGTTAACAATGTTTAACTCCTAGTGTGTCTCAATGACGGTATCGGTGTGGCTTCAGAAACATATCCTTTAATTGTCTGCTAACCGTTAGCTGGCCGATTAGCCAAGGTTTCAGGTTAGCACGTTCAGCCACATGTTGTCAAACAGGGAGCAGCCGGGGCACGGCGTCCCACGAGCTAAACGGAGTTTTCAGTCTGTCCTGGGCGACACGACCGGGTCTGCTCACCTTCAGGGTTTTAGCCTCGGCGACAGTGTTTACATCTTCATCCATGGCTTGGTCTTCAGTGTCAAAGATGATTTTTGACGGCATTTCTCCTTCCTGATGAAACCCCTCGGCGTAGACACACACAGGCAAACCCACGGGCACACGGGCGGAAAGGAGCGCGCAAGGCGGCGCGCGGAAGCGTGTTCACGAGGCACACATAGAAATACAAATGATAGACACAAAAGTGACGCAAAGTCACGTTTTATTCTACTACGGCTTACGTGAGAAATAAAGTATTGTAAAAAATAATTAGAGTGGTGTGACATATGAATGAAATTCAACAAAACGACCGTACAAACAAATTTTCTCACATTATAATCGCATAATAGCAGAAACAGCCGAAATGCCCTTTAAACACACTGCAGTCAGCATCAAAACCTGCCTGATAATACCTGCCCAGCAGATGGCACACTGTGTCCTATCCTGAGGCTTTGTCCTTTAGTATGCTCTCTATGTATGATGATTCATTGCATTAAGTGCATCCACAGGGTTGGAATAATAAGCGTACTTGTCTTTACACTTCAACTCCATATGAAATTTGTTCTGCTTGTGCAAAAATATATTAACACTTTAAAATTATCCAGAAAATTCATAAAATTTTGCAGTCTTTTTCCCATTAAAGGGGATCTTAATACATAAAAAGTAAAAGTCTAGCAAAAAGAAAACGAACTTAACAAAATACACAATATAGAGATTTGCAATATACTGCTGGAAATCACAAGCTGACTCATGATGCACTATCATCATATTTTGCCCACAGTAACGATGATATCACAAGACACATATGTCACATATGATTCAATATTCCTTGTGTAAGTACATAGCCAAGATGAAGTCAGGTGTGTGACAGCAACAAGGAAAAATGTGCTATCATTTGAATATCAAAGCACCATAAACCTGCTAATGGACAAAATGGCTAACCCTTTGAGGAGCTTAGAATTCAAATGTTAGAACCTCCCTTACAGCAAACATTTGAATTCTAAGTTCCTCTAAGGTTTTGCCATTTTGTCCATTAGCAGGTCAATCATTAGACAAGAGAACATGTTGCAGTATTGGTCACAATGTGCCAGTAAGAGAGACACGATAATAATTGTACTGAGATACTGTAAAAAGGAATATATTATGATGAGTAATAGTATTCTGTAAACAAAGCCATCCATTAAAACATATAGAGAAAATAAGAGTTTTTTTTTTTTAACAAACACTGGTAAAAGAAAAATATTGTAATGCACATGGTATTACAATCCAGTACAAACATTCAAAATAGTAGAACTGCAACAAAGGATCATTTAACATACAATGAACAAAGTACACAGTTTTTGAATGAAAACATAATGGCAGCTTTAATGGCAAAAAATGGTATTTACAATTATTAAACTTGTGTAAATAGTATGTTTTCATGTTTAAAAAGTTAATTTAACCAGGCATATTCCGTTCAAAAAAAGTTGATGTTGAGTTGGCCAATGTAATTTGTCAGCATCACTATGGCATATTAATGACTTTTTTTTTGCCCTCTTCTACAATAATAAATAGCCTAAATGACAACAATGTGCATTCACAACAAATACATGGCTTGCAGTCAAGTAAGTTGTAGATTTCACTCCAGCTAAGATAAACATGCATGCTGCTGCACATTGAGAAACTCAGCACCACATCAAGACAGCTTTTGCTCAACCTAATCAGGACTGAATGAAAACAGTAAAGCATGGAAGGATAAGCCAGATACGTTATATTATCCATGGGTTATCATGAGATATTGATGTTTTATTATTAATCTAAAAATATTGTGGTTGGATCACAGGGGATTGTACATGTTCAGACTAGGATTTGCAGTGTTTTGAATATTATAGTGATATAAAATCTAGTGGTTTGTGGTCAAGTGTTTTTTTCTTTTTTTTTTTTCCATGGGTGGGGTGGGGTCTTATCTTGCATCACACAGTGTTCAATTGAATATTATTCATACCGGCTACCAACTAAAAGGGGTCTCCAGGACATCCTGCTTAGTAGTAGGCTATGTAAATACCCAATGACCTGCTTGTTTTAGTTTATATTGAAACTGAGCCTACAGCCAATGCTTTTAGTTTAGTTTAACCTCTGTTACATTATTGTTGTTGTTGTTGTTGTTGTTGTTGCTGTTTCTTGTAAAGTTCCGTATTAGTGCAGTTACAGATACAGTCTGTTCAGACCATAGGGCATAAATTATCCGGAGAATTAATATTTTGCGCAACATTTCCAGGACCCATATTTTGTTGGTGTTGCCTTTCTTCTCGTCCTTTTGGGGTAAGTCTTTTACCTGTCATAATAAGAGCTCTACTTTTTTTTTCAAACACTACAAATATAGTAGCTGTATGATTTTTTTTTTTCTATTGTAATGACTTCAATATGACCGGGGGTCTTGCAGCATATGATGAACATCCAGATACTTGACTTAACTTTTGTTAAAGGCACTTCACTTCAGCATAATGTGCACATACAATAGTGTCAGACCTGAGAGCGACAATATAACTGCCATTTCAGTCCGCCTCCATAGCTGTGGCCATATTTCCTGCAACTTGGCTGGTTGGTGGAGGCATACAACCGTGAGACAGTAAGGCAGTCACGCAGTCACGCACACATAGGGAAACACCAGAAGAATAGGATGTCATGTGCAAATAGTAAATCTTTGAAGCCACTGCCCACTGATGGGTCACTGGATAAAGTATGCCAATGTCTGACAACACACCTCTTAATCTCATTGGACTACAGGGAAAGTGTGGTACACTACACAATTTTTGGGCCCCTCATTGAGGTTTAAGGGCTAATAAGTTATTTTTGTCTGCATTTTTCACTCGCTCAAAACTTTTAATGGTAACCGTATCACTGTATCCTCTCTCCTGGAAGCAATTACACATCCCTGTAACATGTTCCTCAAATGCCTCGTCTGTGTAGGCCGTAAGGAAGACCCTTCTTTAACCCTAGAGGATGGTAGCTCTTGAAATGTAAAAGCATGTTTCTGTCTGTCTTTTGTCTATAGACACTGGTATCAAGATATTCAGTTTTCTTAACGAGCACATCAAGGAATGAAACAGATTCTCTACTGTACTGTAATTTTATAGTTGACGTTCTATAATAGCCTACTGTATGACTGAGACTCCAAATCATTGACCGTGCCAGAATATAATATATATATATATTTTATATGTCGTTGAAACCAACAATTTCATATAGAAAGAAATGGGTTGTTTTGATATACATAAACTTATTAAAACTTTTCCATAAATAAGTTGACATAATTGGGAGCACATGCACTGCCCATGCTAACTTCCTGACATTGTAGATAGAAAAAAAATAGTGAGCTAGTTTTTACTGAGAACCAGCTGAGTAAGTTCTGCCAAAAAACCAGTAGGGGTTTGGAGTTTGATTTTTTTCTCGAATATAGAAAATGAGCAACTGCCCTCAAACCCTTTAGATGTGGAACATTGGTGTACATGCTCACAATGTCCATAGTACACAGTATGTCTGTCTCCTGAATAGAAGAGATTTTATTGAGGGTGGTGGTGTGCACCAAAATCGGCGACTAGAGGACGTATCATTTGTTTATGTTGTTTGTTAGCTTGTAACTGGCAGTGGCTGACCCTGTGTGCACTAAAGATGCTGCCAAATCTTCAAAAGATGCTGTTGGGTTGTTTGGCCATGTGTGAAAGCTCTTCACCTTTTTATCAGCTGGCACAACAAGAAGTGTTTTGAAGCAACATGTGAATAAAACTGTTCTGCAGATATATAGCAGGACAAGTTTTTGGGGTCCAGCCATGTGGGACACTGCCGCAGGACTCAACTGTCAAGTCTTAACAGCTTTATGGGAGCAATACAGTCACACACCATGGCATACATGATATGGTTTTAGGTTGTCTGTTCAAGTTACTCCTTTTCAAGGTTGATCCACCACTTGCATCCCTGTACTTGCGTAATCGTTACAATCTAGCAGTAGTTATCTGGACCCACGATGCAGACATGGGTCTCTTCTCGCACAAGTATGGTAGTCCTGAGAATTCGGGGAGAGATGAAATGGCGAGGCTGGACGTGGCTGGATGGGGCAGGTGAGGTCTTACCACTGAAAGGTTCACAATGAACTGGCGAAGACTGGAGAGAAAGGCCAGGGTTAAGTCAGGTAGCTGGCAATCAGAGTAAATTATCCACAGGAGAGGAGCAGCAGGTGTGTGATGAGTTTGGCAGAAGAGCAGAATGTAGGTCAGCCATACCCAGCCTAAGACACACACAGATAGATGGGGGAAACAAACTGGGGACAAACATTGAACAAGAAGGGAGAACACACCGGAGAAACAAGGGGGAATAGACAATACTGCAGATCCTAACAGTAATCAGTTTTTCCGAATGTTTATTTAAGCCGTGCTCTGATAAAATCTCTCGGACTGTCTCTTCACCTGGTTGCTTGTGGTGTGAAATCCAGTGGAAGATGTCGCCTGGTCTGCAGTGGGTGTTTGTGGAGGTGGGGAGGGTGGGGTCAGCAAACGGGGTCATCAGCAGGGGCTCCTCTGATGTTGTTGATAGGGGGAGGATGGATTTCGTAAAGGGACAGTCCTGGGGGCTGACTGAGGACGGCAGCTCAGAGGGATAGTGTGGGGCTGTTGGAGGTGGGAGAGCAAGGGTCTGTTGAAAAACAGGTTCAGCTAGTTTGTCCACTCAAGGCCCCCCCCCCCCCCTCTGTTGTATGCTTTTCCTCTGGAAGCCAGTGATCTCATCCCACTCCAGACATACCTAGTCAAAATCATAATTTAAATCTTCTGTGAACACGCAGAGCAGTACAAAGTTACAAAGAGAATATTGCGTTAGTGAAGATATTTTACAATAGCCGACAACTTAATCTGTTTGCACACTTTTACTGTTCACATGGCCTGTATAACTTCTGCTTTTTGTTCTTCCTTGGCCTAGGTCTTCCTTGGCCTTACACTGCGTTCAACTGAATATTATTCATATCAGTTTCCTTGAGATTAAAAAAAAAGTGGTTGCTCTGACATACTTCAGTGTCTCTATGAGGTTTTCTTGTCTTTGTTTTAACTGCACACATTACTCTCAATGGCTTTGTCCTTCAGTTTCCTCCCATTTCATGCATCCTCCTGGTAGTGATGTCAGTCCAGCACTGCAGTCCCTCCCACTCCTCCTCCCTCTTAGATGCTGCTTGATTTTACTTCATGCTTAGTAGAAGTGCCACCTGTGCAGCAGTAGGCTATGTATGTAAATACTTAATGACCTGCGTGTCTTAGGTTATATTGAAACTGAGCGAACAGCCAGTGCTGTAGTGCTTAGTTTAGTCTAAGTAAGTTAGTCTGTAGTTTTTTTTTTATAAAAAAAAAATAAAAAAAAGTTCAGTAGGATTCCAGTTACAGATACAGTCTGGTCAGACAATAGCCCATAAATTATTCAGAGAATTAACATGTTGCGCTACATTTCAAGGACCCATATTTTGGTCAGTTTTGCCTTTCTTCTCATCCTTTTGGGGTAAGTCTTTTACCTGTCGTAATAAGAATTGTACTTTTTTTTTTTTTTTTACCACAGTGCAAAGTATAGTAATGCTAAGTGTTTCTAAAATTATCTCATAGATTCTACATGATTAAGGCTTTTGATTAAATAAATTATATCAAATGACTAACGATAATATATTTGATCTGAGTATAATAATGTAACTGTAAGGTAATTGATATATATGAATAGGTTAAATATCGTGCTACATTATCAGGACTATATTTTGGTCTGCTTTGCTGTTCTTCTCCTTTAATAAGGACAACAGCTGCATTTGCACTTTAGACCTGCAAGGTTTTTTACAAAGGGAATAAAATCTGAAACTTAAACAGTAGCTAGATATTGAAGTAGTCCAAAATATTTGTTTTTAAAATATATTAGTAAGATTTTTGTGTAATTGAGACTTTAAAAAAATCCCTTCAAATTACCAAAACAAGCTAAAGGAGGGTAAGATCAAAGTCCAATTCGTATAAGGTACTAATCATGTGAAGTGGTAAATGATTCTAGTAAGAGTCAAGGGAGAAAAAAGTACTTCTCCGATAATGGGGGCAACATGATAGTCAAACACTAAGGAGTAGAAGCCACTGCTCAAAAACAAAGCAAAAAAAAAAAAAAAGGCATTTGCAGAACACAAATTATTCTATGTATGTATATATAAGCTATGTATTTTATGTGTGTATATATACAAAAATCAAATCTATAAGATTACATTTTATTCCTTTACTGTACATTCCTACTCTTACTGTAAATTCCTTCAAATCTATTAAATTATATTTTTATTCCTTTACTCTACACTCTGGTTAACTCATCCCTGTGTCTTCACAGAACTGTCTATATTTATTCTGGATATCCTGTTTCGTCCTTCAGGTAAGGTTTCTTCAAGACAAAAAAAGATGTATCAATTCACATGTATGTAACAATGAAAACCCACTGAACTGGTTACTCAAGAAAGAGTATCAACTGAATGTGTAGGAAACAAACACCCACCAGTCACACTGGACATCTGCTGGCTGGATTAAATGTAAACCTTTCAAAGTGAAATTGCACATTGTGAAGTGAATCCTGTCACCACCCAACCATTACAGGAAGTTTCATTCTGCAGCATTTTTGTGAATTCTTACACCTTAAATTGTTTTATTATCCATGTCATTAATTCCATCCTGTCATATGATTAATGATTTTTTTTTTGCGTGTGTTTCCCTTTTAAGTGTTTGCCAGCCTTGTGATAATATCCCTGAGCCAGAGGTGAAGGTTGCAAAGACAAAAGATTGCAGCAGATGGAGGATTGGAGACCTAAATATGAAAACTGGGTGGGAATCCACTTTTCTTTAGACTAACAGAGAGGAACAGGTGGTTCAAATACAGCTGCCAGTTTACACTTGGTGTGACTCAGGTTCATGTTCTCGCCCTGCTATAAAAGCTTTACATGATCTTTACCACAATAGATAGTAAATTGTGCAAGAATCTGTATAAGGTCATGAACGTATATAAATAATAAAGGGGATGGAGCATAGGTTTTCCAGCTTTCCTTTTAATGCTGTTGCAATAAGCAAACTTACTCCACCTTTGGTTAATCATCATTTACGTTTTACGGCCCTAAAACAACGGGACTTAAAGCATACATGCTGGGGGGGTAGGCCTCAGGAGTCACTGAATAGGAACTGACAAATACATGGAAGGACGAATGGATAGCATGATTTTAAAAAACACATTACAGAAACACAGCACCTTGTCTGTCTTTTTTTGTATTTATTGTTTTACTTTATGTATTTTCTGTGCAAATTTTTGTGCTATACTGTATGTGCCTCTGACCAAATTATTTTCGACTTAAAAATAAAGTTAAATTTGATTTGATTTTTGTTTTTTTTCCAGATTGAAATATGCTCAGCCAAGCACACAAAAAGGGTAAGATACTGAGAACAGATATTACACTATTCTGCTGTGTAAAATTTATACATGACAAGCTGGATTTTGAGTATCTCAAATTGGCACTGTCATCACATATGTAAAGCTAAGACTTCTCTAAACTGTCTGGCCATTTTGTGTAATTATTTAGTTTCCATGTATGTCTGAGCAGTCACTTTTGCTGAAGCCCAACATTGTTCATGTAGCTTAATTGTAATACCCACACTATGGGGTGGAGAAAATGTACATGGGATTTATCAGGATAGGTTTGCTGACGACTCCTGCCAACTGCAGCTGGATGTGATGCTGGTGAAAGCGGTGAGAATGATTAACTTAATTCTGAGACACACAAGGAAACTCATCAGTGGCAAAACAGACAAATTGACATAGACAATGGGGAGCACAGAGACTAAATACACACAAGGAGAACAGATAAAAAGAAACAGGTGTAACACAGGACGGTGGGGCAGACAATCACTATTGTGGGAACACAAGGCAAAGAGGTAAATCAACAATGGACACACAAGGAAAACTACTGTGACATTAATTATTGTACACATTTATAAGCTTACCATAGTAATTTGTTTTGTATATTAAGAGGTGCAATATTTTTTTGATTTATTATATAAATTAATATTCCTCACTGAGTTTATTATATAATTTTGTTATTAGTTGCAGTACTTTACTATTTCATATATAATTTGTAAGTGTAACATTTAAATTGGTAATTTACAACCCCTTTCATAAAATTCAGCATTTTCCGATTATCTGTATCGTTATTCCAGGTGTATTAAGACAGAAGGTTGTAAAGAGGAGAAGAAACCTGACTTCTACATTTTGTAGCAACATGAATGTTCATGTAATGACTACCAAATGACACCATAACATTAGCTACCATTAGGTTTGAGTGTGGTAATTGCACCTACTGTGCTCTTCTTCATGTAGAGGAAGCATGCGGAGGGCAACCTTTGGCACTGACTGCATCATTAGCTACTGCCGCAGGGTTAGGGTTATGCTGATTTCAGTTCAATTTCTTTGTTTTCTGCAGACGCACTGATGTGAACTCAGTGACAAATTGGAATGCTCCTCTGGTTTGGGAGGGAACCTTTGATCCAGTCGTTATCGATGACATCTATAAGAGAATGGACCCAAGAGTCGCTGTGGTGGTGTTTGCTGTTGGCAAGTAGGTACACGGGATATCTCACAGGATATTATGGGAGTGAGGTTTGACCCAACCCACACCTTGAAGATGAAATCTAAAATCTTGTAAACATGAAAATGTAAAGCTACTGTACCTCACATAAATTCTACTTACCTTCTGTATTGTATTAATCATCTTGTGTTGTCTTTTCTTGTCTTATACTAATTGATAATGCTTCTACCTTGCTTCTCTCCATATGTACAGATACACTCGTTTCCTAAAGGGCTTCCTAGAGTCGAGTGAAAAGTACTTTCTTGTTGACTTCAGGGTCACTTACTACATCTTCACAGACAATGAAAAAGACGTTCCTAAAGTGAGTTTCCATTTATTAATATGTATAAAAGTAGTCTGGGGCTAAACATATACTATTTAACAGTAAATACTATGAAATAACATTTCTAGTCTCTTTGTACAGAAGTGAGCAGGGACTCATTTCTTTTGCTCTCAGTTTGTTAGGACTTGGCGTTGTGTGTTTGTCATGCTGGTAAACCAGTATGTAAAGTAGAGGGTCAAATAGGAACAAAAAACACACACATGTAAATGAGAAAAAGATCTTCAACACACTGCCATTGCAGAAATCGCGTTCATGTGAACTATGAACCATATCTTCATGTGTGGCAATACTCCATACAGAGTAACAACCTAAACAAACTTGCTGGTTATGTACTAACCTAGGTGTTTTGCATATGGTGGTATTTAATACCATAAAGCTACTTTAACCTCCAAGGTGATTTCATGTTTATAGAGGTCAGTTTTCCAGTTTATTGGATAAAGGTTTAGTCCAGAATTTCTGAACTGTTCAACATGTGCTCAAATCTTTTTGAACTTTTGTACAGTTTTTCTCCATGACACATTATTTTGCCTCAAAATGCTTGGTTCAGCTACAAAATGCATCATTGAAACGTCTTTTCCTGAAGATTGTTTTGCATTTGCATACTGTCAATTAATGTTGTTAGAAGATGACAATTAGAATTCATTTCTTTTTTTTTATTTATTTATTTGACTTTACAGATTAGATTGGGTGAGGGCCGGAAGGTCTCAGTTGTCACTGTCCCTAGTGCTATGCGCTGGCAGGATGTAGTACTTGGAAGGATGAAATGGGCCACCATCACGATTGACAAACAGGTAAGAAATGTGCAAAATAGACCATACACAACATGAAAGCTGTTGACATTTTCATCTGGTTACAGCGGCTGATGCTTTAAAATCTTCACTGCTCAGTCTTTACTTCTACTAGGAGGTTTGTGCAGCAACCATAAAAAAAGATTCAGCACTCACTGAGGTGCATAAAAATAAAATATGGTACTCTGAAATATTGCTTCCTGGTTACAGTTATTGTTTAATCACATCTTCTTTTATCTAATTGAGCCTCTCCATGAAGCATTTAGTCCTACATTTCATCTGTCATGTTTTCAGATCCGTAATGAAGCAGATTATCTTTTTATGATGGACATCGACAGTGTCTTTCACAACCACTTTGGAGCAGAGTCTCTCAGCCAGCTATCTGCTGTGCTTCACCGTGGCTACTACAAGGTTTTACTCTTTCTCCTACACTGTTTATCTTCAGTTAGTGAAGTCTTTACTTATTTTATGTTCACAATAACACAATGCAATGTTTTTTTTCACCTATATTATTGCTGTTATTGTTGCCATAATTTTTAATCCATAATTTAGTTAATGTTTTTTCCTTTTTTTTTTCTCAGAACACAAACAGGGATAAATTTCCATATGAGCGTCGGCCCGAGTCCAAGGCATACATTCCTGCTGGTGAAGGAGACTACTATTACACTGCTGCTGTCTGGGGTGGATATCTCGAGGAAATGTACAAGCTAGTCAGGTAACCAAAACCAAATGATCTCTTAAGTTATTTTTGTGGTATTTCTAATTAAAAGACTATCTTACATCTTGCCACAAAAGTGACCGTTATACAAGTATCTTACAAGTTTTTGAGATTAATGTCACAACTAATTTACCAAGTTTTGCTTCTTTCATTACTCTCATCCTCAAATATATGTAAAAATAAAATCTACCTCTAGCAACCTCTGTCTCAGAGTTCTACCTCTTTTATTTTACCAGGTACTGTTACGAACAGTCAGAAGAGGATGCCAAGAATAAGATTGAAGCTGTATGGCAGGAAGAAAGTCACCTCAACAGGTACACGTCTTTCTTTTTCTGTTGTTTTCCAGTCAGCTTTGTCAAAGCTTTTTTTTTTTTTTTTTTGATCTTATTGTTCCAACCATTTTTAATGTAAAGTTTGACATGCTGCTACTACTTACAATCATTTTCTGTCTATTCACTGTCTTTTCTGCCTGTCTCTCTGTCATGCAGGTACCTGTTGTACAACAAACCAACCAAGGTGCTGTCTCCAGAGTACCTGTGGTCAGACTACGATCAGATACCTTCAGACATCAAAGTGGTCAGGGTCTCCCAGCTGGTTAAGAACTATGCAGAGGTGCGGCCCAATGGTGGACACTGATGTCGAGTCAATTTAATATTTATGATGTAGAACCTTCTGAAGAAAAAATAATAATAGGCTAATAATAATAATAATGGGGATAGCTAGGTTGTTCTGTATTTTGTAGCATACTCTCGAAGGTATAAATGAAGCATTAAAAAATACATGGATTTTAATCTTGCTCCCTACATATTTATTATAAAATTTATGGCCAGCATAAAGAATTTATCGCATGGCAATATAAAAGTCATTGATTCTGTTTGGCTCTGTTGGGTCAGCAGTTTATCCAAGCTAAATTGAACTACAAGTGTCCATTGTAACAATGCGTATGATTAAAAAGGTGACGGCAATTTTATCACTAACTGACTTTTTCTGTGATAAATGGCCATGGTAAAGCACACCATGATAATACGATGTGGTGTAAAGATGAACTGTAGAAAACAGTTGAAGACACTGTATTTTGTTCTGTGTAGTTCATCACCTCTGCTTCATCCATTATATATTCTTTTATAACTGAAGTCAGGACGCTGCTAAACTTTTAGAGATTTCTCAGACTGTGTGTATCACCTGTGTTTTATTCTTTTGTAAGATATTGAGCACAGAATTTAGACTTTTAAGGTAAACTCTTTGCCTTCATTTTCTCCCTTTTTAAGATGTAAAAGTAAATGCTCATATTGCCCCCTAGGGGTGTTGTAGTGCGCCAGCATCATCTGGATTCTCTGGGATTTACAGTGTATTACCTCTGTATTGCATTCATTTCATTCATTCATTTCATTTCATTATTTTTTAGGCATTACATTGTGTGCATTGTATGATAATGACTGAAATGTAATCACATTTGATGCTGAATGCAATGACAAAAGTGTTACTGTTTCTGTTTTTTACAAACAAATTAAAAATGAATAATAAAATTTACTTTTACCTTAATCTGGAAAACACTGTATGTGAGCATGTGCATGTAAGAAATTCTTGCATGCATGTAAGTATGTGTACATTTATGTTTGTGCCTTTTTACATACAGTGTTAGGGTGACTTTTAACATGCAGTGGATGTTCCTCTATGATCCTCCAAGGTCAGATATAGATTTACAAGACTTCTTTTATACCGCAAAACCAAAGAAATCTGTTTGTTTATACAACCAAGGCTATTTTCCAATGACCTGGACATAAGCTGTTTTATGAATTTTAATTCCCCATTTCATTTTGTGCTCCTGTGTTGTTATCTCCCATCACAGCACAGCACCTGCATTCAGTGGTCTTTCTATAGTTGTGAGAACCCTCAATGCGTTCCCTAGTACCTTACCCTAATCTTAACCATCACAATTAAATGCCTAACCCGAACCCTAAAACCAAGTCTTTACCCTCAAACTGCACTTTGAAGCATGCCAGCGTGGAACCTCAATAAAAATGTATGATTGACAAAAAAGTTGAGAACATTTAAGATTTATTTTAAATGAAATTTTAATTTGAAAATGAACATTACTGGATGGATGTCATTGGACTTAAAGGACTTCCTTGGCATGTGCAAAGTTTGAGCTACGTTCTTGCAGACTTTTCAGCGGCTGTTGTTGTTCTGCTTCTTTGCAAATGAAGAATGTTTATGAAAGCCGTTGTGTTGTTGCATCCTGGACCCAGTAACCTGTCACTGCTGCTGCTTGTTTTTTCGTCCTTCCTCTTCTTCGTCGTTCCGTTTTAAGGAACCAGCGTTAAGGTGCATATGCTGTGGTTGGTGTGTGGACCAGAATTAATTATACAACGTCTCCTACAGTAGAAATATTTCTAACCTCGTCTTTTTACACACCAGACTAAGCAGCATGAATGTAGGCAGCCGCATCCGGTTGAGCTGCGTCACCACGACAGTGTCGTAAAGCGCCAGTGTTATTGGTGGAAATTTGACCGGTCGTCCTCTGAACTGAGTTTCCAGTCGCCCTTCAGCAGTGAAACAGAGCTCCTCTCGGCTAAAACACACGCCATCCTAGCGTTAAACCATGGCAGGGGCAATTGCACGGAAAGCTATTGACCACCTGAAGAGCAAAGAGTTCAGGGATTATTTGACGAGGTATGTGTATGTGTAAGCATCTAACAAATTTCTCTGTTAGCACGCATGCTAATGTACGCTAGCTGCTTAGCTGTTGAGTGACTAGGTTATACCGCTCGGTAACGTTTGATAATTTTTAAAAGCCAGCTCAATTTACGCTTTAATAAAACTTTCACAATTTTCAATAATTTATGTTATACCGTCTGTTGCATTAGCATTATTTTTCGCCGTTTCACCTTTCAAGGACGGTTGTGCTTTTTCTATGTGTCTGTAGCGTGGAGTGAACTTGTTACTCAAGTTTATGAGGTGTTCTGTAAATGCAGAACAGTAAACTGTGGATAAACTAGTTTTCATGGTTTATAATTACACGACACGGGAGGTACATGGAGTCAGTCGCTCTAGAAACATCCAAAAACAATCAGTAATCTTTGAAAGTGGTTCGTAATTTATAGTAATACTTTGCCTCTAACAACAGTATTGAAGTTGTGCCCATTGTCAAATCTGGCTTGACAGACAAATACGAGCAAGGGGAGCTGCTTTTATTACTTCTTCACGTATTGTGGAGATGCTGGTTAATGTGTACATGTGTTTTGGTGGTGTGTGTACATGCCACAGAATAGAGTAAAGGGTAAATTATTGTACAGACCATCTTTGTTTATATTTGTCACAGATTAGAGTAAAGGCCATGTCACAGTGATGCAAGAGGCCATCTTTGTTTAAGATGGAAAGTCAAACAAATGCACTGTAGCCATTTTGCATTTGTTTGACTTTCAAATGTTAAAAAAATTCTTAAAAATAATAATGAGAATAAAGATAACCCAAATATACCTTCGTCGGTATGTGTGACAAATGTAAACAAAGATGGCCTCTTGCATCACTGTGACATGGCCTTTACTCTAATTTGTGACAAATATAAACAAAACCCTTTCTGACAAGGCACTTTTTTGGTTGCATGTATTATTATCATGGAGCAAATACAGTAACCGATAAGTGTATCAGCTTGTATTATGAATATTGTGGTTGCCAGTTCACTGTAAGTGTAGTTTAACATTTTCATCCAGGGACTATAATGTCACGTAATTTAGTGATGTGCAGACAGAGCAGATAATTTTAATCGCAGCAGCACCTGGGATTGTACTAGTTCTCTCATTATTTGTGAACTGCCTGAAACAAACCTGTGACTTGTCTTGTGTGACGTAGTTCTTGTTAGTGTGACTTATCTGTATTTTTGTTCTTTTCTCTTGCATGTGGCCCCTGAAATAAACAAAACATTAAACAGCACGGTAAGTACTCATTCTTTGTGTCTGTCTATCTGTCTGTCACTATGTGTTTCTGACTGTGTTTTTCCACATTTGTGACTGCCTGTTCTATCTGCCTGCCTTTCTATTTTGACTTTACCAACATGTACTGTACAATATAGCCACCCCTATTAATCTGAGTGTATGTCGGTTTGCTTGTATCATTTTCAAATCTTCACTATTGTGCTTTTCTTCCATGTATATTCAACACCAGTTCCTTTTTATAATGGGATTCACAATAAGATTTTATTATAAAGTAATAACTGTTAATAAATGTCAACTAATATAATATGTCACTTTGTGTGTGTGTCTGTTCGTGTCTGTGCAGCATTTCTGGGGCCCTGTAGCAAACTGGGGTCTTCCTATTGCCGCCATCACAGATATGAAGAAAAGCCCTGAGATTATCAGTGGCAGAATGACCTTCGGTAAGACACACAGACACATACACAGATAAACATAAATGTACAAATGCACAGTACACACAAAATGCCTGTCCTTTTCTGGTTCACATTGTTAGGGTAAGGGCTGAAATTTGTACTTTATCTCAAGGTAACTAAGAAATAAGAGATTCTTTAAAGTAAACAACAGCTGCAATTTTTGTTAGTCACACTGAATATTTCCTGTGACGGTCCTATGTCTTTGTCACATTCTGAATGAGAGCGCTTTCACTTTGGCCTCAAAAAGGTCTTGAAGTAACAGAGGCCTGACAGAAGAGTTTGTACTGACCACTTATCTGTAGGTGTGTGTTGATTTAAGATTTGAAAGGTCAATATTCATATGAAAGTTTGTGCTGTTAGTTACTCTATAATTGATTTTCTTTTGTGGGTAATAAAGCTAAACTATTTATTGTTACATGTTTGAGCAGTGGTAAGAAGTGTCCAGAATTTAATGGTAGTTATAACTATTGGTTAATGAAGGTCTTTTGTCTGTATGTTTTCTCTATCGTCTCAGCTCTGTCCTGCTATTCACTGCTCTTCATGAGGTTTGCCTACAAGGTGCAGCCACGCAACTGGCTACTTTTTGCGTGCCATTTGACCAATGAGACGGCACAGCTAATCCAGGGAAGTCGCCTCATTAAGTTCAAGTAAGTCATATTCTAGTCTGTTTTTTCTTTGTCATTGTGAACAGGGGATGTATAGTAAAATAGTTGTATTGGACGAAAGCATTTGCAAATTTTCTCAAAATTTCCAAAAATGATGGCTTTGTGTTATGGTCTACAGTCTTCAATCAGTTGCCTACAGAAAAATCCAATACTGTTGTTTATTATGTCACCTGACCTCTCTGCAAGTCACTGAAGGTATTGAAGTCATCAGCTGTCTTATCAAGCTTCAGTTAAAGAGATGTTAGTGATGACACACAGGTGGCTTATCAGACTACTATCTATACCATTTACATTGTCATCCTTCTTTCTTACATGTTCTCTGTTATTTGTAATAACAAATGTCTAAATACAATGTGTCTCTCAAGTTATTTTCAACCTGATCCTTATTTTGCCACAATGATTTTTGACTTTGTTTGATATTTCATCATTGACTCAACTTAAGAGTTATGAGGAAAGCATTACCCTCAGATACACTCCAGTGGAGAATGAAACTTAGAGTGACTTGCATTCAGCAATGAACATGATGTTTAAATTTTATGAAAATGAGACCCAGGCTGAAAATAGCTGGAATTATCCTTTGCATTTAGGTTTTGGGATTAGAGTAGAATTGTGTGCACTCTGACTGTTTCTTTATTATTTCAGCATGGAGAAGAAGAGTGGATCTTAGTGACAGAATGAAGCCGATGGAGATCGTTCACTGCAGAGTTGCACCATGTTGCTACAACAGCCACCCAAACCTGGACATCAAAACATTTTATCTAATCATTGAAACTGTGGCACCTACACCATGATATATCAACATGATTGATCCTCCACACGAAGTTTTAGTAACTTTTTACTAGACAGACAGAAGAAAGCAGATGCTTTCCTCCAAGATTTAAGGTCAACTGATTTTTTGCAACTTTCAACATGACACACAAAAATATAATGTACACTCAGCTAACCAGCCTGACAGTTACATGCTTTGCTCACTGAATCCATCGGCCATAAACACTTTCAAACTAGGCTAAAATAATCATTATTGGCCAGTCATCTCATTTCTGGTCATCAGCATTAACATTTTTATTACTTTCACACCTCCTTAGTAATTGAAATATTCACGATATTCCATAGAAAAGTTAGTCTGAGCAAATATGTCCCCACCATGGTAGATTATCACTGTCCAAGAGTATGGACTTCCATTCATTAACCTTTACTCAAACACAGAGAAAACACAGAGAGGTAAGCTTTTTATTTGTTCTTCCGTGGAGCAAGACATTATGCTGTATATCAAAAATGTAGTGTGTATAAGGATCTAATTTGACATAGTTTTATTACAGTATAATAAGTAATTGTTCATTCAAATGTTTAAATCATACAAAATAAATATGTATGTTTTTTTATGTGGTGAAGCTGCCCACTGTAAATCTTTATAATTAAAATGGGTTATAATCCAGCATAACTGGGCAAGGCAAGCTGCTTCCGTCAATGCTGACCAAACATGTAGCGTGTGTTGTTGTTATGTGTCATTCACATTAATTTATTGTCATTATATAATTCACATCATTTTTCCTGATTACAGATTTGATTCTCTGGGTTTGTTTAAATAAACTGGCAATAACCAACTTGAACACAATTCAGCGAGTGGATTTTTATTTCTGAAGTTCACCTTTGCAACTTCAGATTACATTTTTTTCTTGTTTGTCATGAAGTCCTACTCCATGGGCATTGTTACTTAGGGATACTCAGGTATTTCACCAATGTCAGAGACTCCACTGCTCTGTATTTACACTCAAGACTGCTCTGCAACCTATTGCCCTTATTAGATTAACACTAAACAATAGACAAATCTTTTCAACAAAATTAGAAAGTACAAATCAAACTAAATGGAAACGAAGAGGTTGCTTAGAATTTTTTATTTTTAATGCATGCACCTGAAGTTTTAAACCTTTATGTGAAAATTACTGAGCTTGATGAATATGTTAAACATATTTTTATATTGCCACAATTTTCTGCATACATGACATTGAACAAATAAACAAATAGGAGCCAAGTGAAGTAAAAACCACCAGTGGTGGAAGTAGGATTCACATTATATACTGGTAATATTGCAAGGGGAAGATACTCCATTAAGTATTTAAGTTTTACTTAACTAAGTGCACTGAGAGTATCTAAAAGTACTCATAATTCTGAATGAACCATTTGATACTGCTATGTATTTTTACGGATGCATTGACTTGGATGAGCAGTATTTTAATGTTGTAATGTTGATGTGGAGCTAATATGAACTTTTTTATAAGCTGTTGGATGGTTTGATTAGTAACATTACATCACATTTTATAAGGTGATTATATATGTTGTATTTAAAATACGAATCTGTAAAGTCACAACTGAGTGTACTGCAGTTGTCATAAAAATGTAGCTATGGGAGTAAAAAGTACAATATTTTTCTCTGAAAGGTAGTTAAGCAGAGGTATGAAGTGGCATAAAATGAAAATACTTTAGATAAGTTCAAATGCCTCGATATTGTACTTAAGTACTTAAGTTGTAGTGATTTGCAAAGCAACTTTCACATCACTGTTTATTACTGGTTGCCCGGAAACACGGATTCAAGAGAATAGCGTATAAATGGATGTTGTACCGTACTTCCCAACAACACATAAGGAAACGTTGAAACACTGAACGGGAAACAGTAACTTATTAACTCCAGAAGATGGCAGTAATGAAAAAAAAAAAAAAGACTGAGATGCAGCTGAACGGCAAAGAAGAAGACCATCATGGCGTCCCTCAGCAGTGATGAGTGGAGAACAATCTGCGACAAATTCACCAACGCCCAAAATTTAACGGAGGTAGAATCACGTAACGACCCAGAAAATGACCCGTTCCGATCCAAATACAAGGCCAGGGAGCTCCTCAGAGAGATATACTGCTCACTGAAGAGCTTTGAAGCTGGCGAGGGTGAGGAGGACAGCGGCGGAGAGAGCGGCGACCAACGTCCGACAGAGCAGCCTGTGGACGGGCAGAGGGAGGATGTGTTCGGTCAAGGCTTCAGTGGCGACTCGCCGGCCGGCCTGCGGGCCGCTAAACTCGGGGCTGTGGAATACTATCTTGGCGTCAACCACGTTGACACGGAGGAACTGTCAGCCGGACGAGAACATCTAATGAACTGCATGAAACAGCTGGAGAGATGCAGAGTGTCGTGCGAAAATGTGTCACTGTTTATCCATGTCAGGGTAACGTTAACTTAGATTTAATAATGATATTCAAATACACTTACTGATTGTTAGCTTTACGTTAGCAGCACAAGTGTTTTCTTTACAAAGAGGCCGTTGCTACCGCTGTTAAAATTAACCAAAACTTCTAGTTAGAAATATTGTTAAAAGACTGAGACGCTGCTGCTAATCAACCATCCCAGACTGACTAGTTAATATATTAAAGCATTTTTCACGACCTCTCCCTTTTTGCATACATTACATCTTAATGATGATGCATCACAAGCTCTGCAAGATCAGTGAAGCTAGCATGTTGTTAACATGTAAATAATGGAGGATTCTGCCCTTATCCAGATCATCTTAACTGTAGTAGAAGATCAGAGCATCAGATGGTTTTGATCACTTGTGTTGGCTGTTTGTGTCATCAGAACCAGTTGGGCATCCTGTGGGCAGGCCGGGATGAGACAGAGACTGCACAGGGATTCCTTGAAACAGCTGAATCCATCTACCAACGTTATATGAAGGAGGTGAAGTCAATTTCCTGTATGCCTGTTTAACTGAAGCGGCTGGTACACTGACTGACTGATTGATGACAAGGCAGTAGGGACTGTAGCATGCAAAACCCATCAATTCACACATTTATTAATCATCGTCAATTTCCCTTGCCATCAGCAGGTGTAGTGTCACATAGCCATCATTAACATGTCTGTAATGGTGTGTGAATGGATGCCATTTGCTAACTGTGTTGACACCAGCATTCAAAGGCAAATTGACTTAGAAGCCAACAGCAGGAGGACAAGACTGCAGAGCAAACATGAAAATTACTTTGGGCAAATCCTCTTCTTCTGCAGCCATGTTTGTGGTGTTTTGTGTTTTTCCAGGATGGGAGTCCTCCCACTGATATGACAGAGTACTTTACTACTGAGGAGAACCTGCTGACCCATCAGGAAAGGACTAAGAGGTAACTTGTAACCTCCAAAACCAGACACACACACACATGCACATATGCAGATTTACATATCTCATACCTATTTGTAGTTATGTTATTGTTACTTCACTTCGTCTTCTCCATATACTACCTCTTCCCATTCCCTTCTTTCTCTTCCTTCCATCTTTCCTTTTATACCTACCAGGTTCGAGTTGGCCTACACTCATACCATGTACTACCTTGCTCAAGTCTATCAAAACCTTGGTGAGTCTTATTGTGTTTGAATCAAATTTGCATAACAGTATTTACTTATAGTATACAGTAGCTTATGTAAAATGTACCTAACATTTAAACTGATGTGGAAACTGCAAATACTCTATATCAGTTTTTTTAATTTATTAACATTCACTTTGTGAAGTTGTGTGAATATAATGTATTGGAGTGTTGTTATGTTAATATAGTGCTTTATTCTTTTTTGGATGGTAGTTATTATAACTATAGTATTTTGTCTTCTAGGTGAAACTGAGCGTGCTGCCATCTATTGTCACAGTACCCTGCAGAGACAGTTACAGTTAAATCAGTTCAATCCCATGGAGTGGGCACTGAACGCTGCTACACTATCACAGTATTACATCACTAAGGTAGGCTTAGATTGATTCATATAGATTAAAAGCAATTCATTTAAAACCTTAAACATAAAAGGATTTTGTATGTCATCACCCAAAACGTTTTCATCTGATTTGCCTTGCATGTTACACACTTTCCACCAAAAATGAGAAGTTTCAATTTCCTTGTGGTTCTGTTTTGCAGAGACTTGACATGGAGTCAAAAAATGTGATTACATGGTTGTATTTATGATATATTTTGTAAGATGTGGTTTACGTGTGCATTAGCACTGTCACAGTGGTTTATTTAGAGTATAAGTAATGAGAGGTGTGTATGTGTGTGAGATTTTATTTTATTTTATTTATTTATTTATTTATTTAAGGGCCGATACATGGAAGGCAGACATTGCCTCTCAGCAGCTACTGTCATATCAGGTTTGGCAGGAGAAGTTCCTTCTGAGGCTGCAGCCCAGGAAAGTAAGTGTCCACCTAAATCTCTAAAGAATGTACATAGTAACATAAGCACAACGATTTGCTTTACCTTTTGTATGTGGTTTCTCTTATCAACTACATTGAGTTAAACAGGAGATAACACAACTGTGAACAAAGTATTGGTACAGTTGTGCGACCAGTCGTACCTCCTGTCCTCAGTTATTACAGTCCTTCCTCCCTCTGACTCCTTCCTCCCTCAGCCCCTCTTTCCTGGCATATCTTAACGTCTTTTTCTACTTTTGTCTGACACAGGTGAGACAGAGAGTGAGCGAAGGGAACAGCTCAGACAAAAGAGAGCAGAGATTGCGAGATGTTGGATAAAATACTGTCTCAACCTCCTGCGGGATGCTAAGAAGCTGCTAGAGGTACTGCATGGTTGTACTTGTGCCTGTGGTGGTTTTTAAAATTGTTAGGCTCATGACTTGGACTCGAGTCACATGACTCAAGTCTTATGAGCAGTGATAGCCAGCATGACTGAACCTAAAGAGCACCACCCACAAGAAAACTCAACTTTATCAGCCAAGAACTCAAGGAAAAGAAGTTTACACCAAAAGTTTAGCAATTAAGATTATGCTAAAACAAAAGAAGGATTAAGTATCAAGGATTATCACTTTAACAAACCTTGGTATGCATGTTTATTTGTGTAGATTATCTGTATATCTGCTCCTGCTGGTGTGTATCTGAGCTTAGATGTGCATATAGTGTTGTGTGTCTTAAAATGTGCTTGTACATGTGTTTGTGACCAGGACAACATTGGGGAGCTAGATACTGATCGTCAAGAAGAGTTGAAGAGAGAACGAAGACGTGAGGAGGAGGAGGAAGAGAAGGGCAGGAAGAGCGCTCTGCTGTTTGGCTCTGAAGACACTTTTGACTCGATTGCTAGCCTGGAGGAGAAGGTCTGTATGCTGTCTTTTATATTACTTCTATTGCTTCTAGCAATGCTATTAAAACTATTGTTAAGAAAAATGTTATATCATTTTAAATATGTTAAATCACCACTATCTCCACGTCAAAAGCATCAGAAATGTTTCCCTTTTGATAAACCACTATAACATAAGGTATTTTAATGTCATTTTTAAGTAATAAAGTTTTTTTTTTAATGAAGTAGTTTTGATGTGATAGTATCAGTCAGTAGATCACAAGCACAATCAACTGAGCAAAAAACTGGCAATAAATGAAGATTTATTGTACCACTAGAAGGTGCCATTGTGCAGATAAAAATCAACCTGTTATAGTAGATGAGCTTAAAGTTTCTGCTTTATGTTTTTCTAGGTGCACTGTTTGTTCCCATTGGACTTCACCGAGGCCAGAGCTGTATTTCTAGTCGGACAGAATTATGTCACACAGGTATACACAACACACACACACACACACACAGAAACTCGGTTGGATACACACACACACCAACACACACACACACACAGAAACTCGGTTGGATAGACTTAGAATCATCAACATAGAGATGTGTATACAAGCAAAGAGACACACACAGCAGTGCAGCACATTTTACGGTCTGTTAGTACACTGAGAAGTTATTGAAGTTACCTTACAAGGTGACAAGGGAGCAATTAAAGTGAATATTAAAATGAATTCAGTAATATGTTGCATTAAAAGCCAGGTTACTCAAAAAAGCAGAACTATAAAGCCCATTGAGATATTGTATGTGATATTTGGCTCTACAAAATAAATTTGACTTGACACATCAGTGAATATACCAAGGTATTTATAGCTGAGGCTGATTTCAACTGCATTGCACAGCACTGCACTGGTGTCACTCAACTTTTCCTTAAAGTCCTCAGTCACATGTTTGTCTTAAGTATTTGTCTCGAGAAGCAAATCCAAACTAGGATGTCATAATTATGTCAAACTCATTCATTTTGATAGACAACTATAATAAAAAAGGATTGAGAGAAATTCCTATACCTGTGAGAAGAGCAATAAAAAAAATTTGAAATGTGTTTTCTGAGCCACTAAAAAATGTGATCTGATTGGGTGAGGATTCCTTCATCCTGTTTCTTCATCCACACAGATTTACATTTGAAAAAATGTGTGTTGACTTGGATGAGGGAAAAAGTGTTGAATGTAGCAGGCCAAGTTTCAGCTGTTAAATATGGTGATGAACCTGAAACGTGTGGTTGTCATTAGGTCCAGTGGTTACTATGTAATGTCTATTGTTTCATTCTCTCTTGCAGGCCAAAGAGTACTTTCAGATGGATGGATATGTGACAGACCACATAGAGATCTTGCAGGATCACAGTTCTCTGTTCAGGGCCTTGGCTTTCTTTGAGGAGGATCTGGAGCGACGCTGCAAAATGCATAAACGAAGAGTTGATATGCTAGAGCCAATCTGCAGTGGTACTGAGCTAATTTTGTTCTTGAATTTATTTCAGTTTTCTTTCTTCCTTTTGAAAAAAGTTTTGTCCCTTTGAATATTTTCATAAGACATAATGTAGTAGAAAAAGATCAAATAAAATAAGCATCCTTGTAGGGTGACACCATAATTTATTAAATCTGACTTTCTTCACTTCCCACTGTTTTTCTGTAGACTTGAACTCCCAGTACTACCTACTGATCCACAGACAGTTGATGTTTGAGTTGGCAGAGACCTACAGTGAAATGATGGACCTGAAACTGACACTGGCCAACAGACAAGCAGATACACAGTCACTAGATAACCACACCATTAAGAAATTCAACCACCTGTGCTCTGCCTCTGCCAAGTGAGTGTACATTTAGGTGTGGAGTACCTATGTGTGCAACTACATTACTCTGAGTAATTTGTAATCCTCTCCTCTCCAGGTACTTCCAGATGTTCCTAGACTCTCTATGTTCTCCAGAAGGGAAGTTTCCAGAGCACCTGGAGGAGGAGGTGCTCAGACCTGCTCTGGTGGCCCGCTTCAGAGTAGCCCGACTACACAGCCGGCTGATCAGCTCCATACCGTCTGTTCAGCTGGAGAACCTCAACAAATCTCTGGAAAACTACAAGTATGGAAATATATTTCTCTGTTTATTGTGATACATCCAAACACTTTCAGGGTTGCACATTGAAAGACTGGCTCTTTTGCAGTTCTCTGTAGGATGAGAGTAACAGGTTGGTATTAATACAGAAGCATGAGGAAAATTGAATGTAAGACAGATATAATTGGTAGACTACAGAGGATTTTGTTGAAATCAGTTAGATTAATAGGATAAGGGTGTGCTCTACAGTCTTAATGTTGCCAGCTGCCATGTTGGGGACATTGTAATGTGTTGACCATCACTTTCACCATCCACCTGTTGTCTAGATACGTGGTGCAGTATTGTGAGGCCCACCCTGAGGCAGCACCCGCTGTGGAGACTGAGTTGGAGCTGAGTAAGGAGATGGCTGGCCTGCTCCCTCTCAAAATTAACCGCCTGAAAGCAAGGATGGCTGCAAACAACTCAGGGATGCCGCTGCTCACTGACTGACTTGTTGATTGACTAATAGCATTAAATCCAACCAGATGAGACTTTTAGTCCAACTTTCCCACCTTGTAGTCAATGACACTCCCAACAGTTAGAGAAACCGGGTGGCAGATTAACTGACTGTCTTGCTTATTGTAACTTGTATTGGTGATGGCCGCTTGTTTTTTGCAGTGAGAATGCTGTTTTCACAAGACCTATTAACACAGTACACACTATACATATGTGCTTTTCTTTTTGTAGTAGAATATGTGGTCAATTTACTTTAAATTCAGATAGCACAGAAAATATATTCTGTTCAAAATCACCATGGAAATGTCAATGTCATTGTACTCAGATATAATTTAGAAAACGCTGATAATATCGTCATGTTTTCAACACTTAGAATTGAGCAGCGATTGACCCAGACCTGTTTTTTTCTTTACATTGATGCTTTCTTCCCCAACCAGAGTGGTGTAAAAACATATATGAAGTTGTGGGTTTATTGTTAAAATGTCAGATGCTGCCTTTGGAAATGATAAGGCATCGTTATGGCTGATATGTACATAAGAGTTGTTTTTTTTTATTGTTAATCATATTGGTTTTCATTTAATGTGGCTTTATTTTCTGTAAAGCACTCAGCACATTAAAATTCTGTCTCTTCAACTACTTTAAATCTCTGATAGTAAAACAAATGTTAAAGTTTACTGTAACCAGGGTTACTATAGCCAGGCAATAGAAACAGAGGAACAGATAGTATTCACTTTTTAGTGTTTTTTGCCTTTGCTTCTGAGAAACATCCACCCCAGTGGTATGAAGTCATTAAGTGGGCTTAACCACACTGATAGTGTGTTAGATTTCATAATTTGCATGATGCCTGCTTCATCGAGTTGAACCTCTGTATTTTCTTCTTGTCTCTGAGGACTCACAGTCATCCTATTTTATGTACAGTAGATACTGTATGTAATGATATTAAACCCATGAAGTAATACACACTTATGTCACAATACCAATATGTGCTTTTGTACTTTCAGAAAGAAGCTACAGATAAAATGGGTCCTCTGTCTTTTCCCTGGTATAGCTCTATAATAGGACTACTAAGTGGATTTAAAGACTGTGGGTAACTGAGGAAAAGGCTAAAATGATCTCAGAGTGGGCTCCAGACCTGGTTTTCCAGACTATTAAACTGCTTAATAAAGAGAAATGTCTAAAACGATGTCTATTAAAAGCAAATTATGTCTTAAACTGACTGTGGCTACGTGTTGGATGTCCTATAAAAGTTACAGTATATCTCAACCTACATCTTTTGTCTATCTTTTTCCACAGTTGTGTCCTGCATGTTTCATTGTCAATGCACCACTGTTTTTTTACATTTATCATATTGTGCAGCTGAATTAAAACTACATACACACATGTTAGAGGTTCAATGATAAAGATACATTTTGTGTTAATGGTAAAAAAAAAAAGTCCTAAGAAAAAAAGTTAAATGGCTCTCCATGTGTGATCTTTGATTTCTAACGGTTGGACTGGAGTTAATTGAGAATATCTGAATTCCTCAGATAGAGTTGCATGTTTTCATAAGGGGAAGTATTTGCGTAAGAAGTCAGATGAGTAGGCTGTTGCAGTTTCCAACTAGCCATGAGGTCATGTCACTTTGCCCTACTGTTCTACTTCCCCTCTGAGGCCCTTAGGGCATTTGGTGAAGCTGTAGACAGCAGTGTGTCTGAGCTACTGGGTAGATGCAAGGCTGGTGACATTGTGGACACACAATTGATCACCATCACAGCCATTCCAATTTCACCTAAGGCTACAAAAATCATGTCATCCTGTAAAAATATGTGTATGGACATACAGACAGATGAGAAATAAAAGAAAAAAAAAAGGAAAAATGATGTTTCCACACAGGGGTCACAGGTCGTTGATCTGTCCTTTCATTTGTCATCTGTATATCTGTTTATTAGTGGAACTCATAAATATCTAAGCTGTTTTGTCTAATTAAGCCTTCATTACTGTAGGTTCTTCTAGACTCACATCAATTTAATAATTACCACAAACACACACACATATAAAAAAAACTATTTGTGGTCTCTTCATGCAAGGGAAACTATTTCAATGAAAAGAAATCTGCAATTCCTGCCTTAATTTATGCTCCCGGTAATATTTCTGATACTTGTTAAAACATGTATGGACATACCTGCTCAACACAGGGACTCTACAAACTAATTTGCTGTGAATGAGAACTGGGCTGAGACAGCTTATAGAATACACATACAGATTCACAGTAATTTTAGGAATACATTCATATTCACATCTGTGTATCTAAGCCCAACAATGTAACATTTTGTGTTCCATCAAATGTTTAATTTTGATCAAATAAAAGTAATAATCAAAGATGTGCTTGCTTTCAGTTCCCATTGTGAAACTTATGAAGTAATATGTGAAGCAAGACAGACTTGAAATTACATTTTAAAAATAACTTCAAAAGATTTTAAGACTTGAATGTCTTATACCAGTGGATGAGGTGTCACTGATGAACTTGTTCGTTTTCTGTTTTTTATCGTGCTTGTGTGTGACTGGCTGTTTGTTATATTTTCTTTCTGCTTATTTTTTCTGCTGTACTGGGGTCTCTATTGCAAAAGAGATCTTGACTTCAAATAGATGAATAGATGATATATAAATGCTATATTTACACTGTAATCATCCACCATCGGATTTTTTCACAATACACAGTACTAGACAAACAAAAAATATTATGATGATGTTATTATCATTTGCAGAGATTTTTCTTTTCCTTCGACCTGTAATGTTTCATTCATCTGCAAATACACCCACAAAGTATTGTCAAGCAATTACATTGTGATTCACAGTTCTGGGAACAGACAGCACATGACCACACAGGAAAGTGGAAGGCAAGTTTGCAGTTTACTGATTATGACAAACTGTGACACAGTGACGGTTTGTGAGTTGAACAGACTTATCCAGTGGCCCAAATACATCAAGTCTTACATTTACTTCGTCAAAGAAAAACTGATGAAATTAGCTGATTGTGGTTATCAGTCAATGCTAAACTGTCTCTATGGAGCCCAAAAAAGTCCTTTAGCGTCACATTGCCTAAACTGGTGAAATGATCCTATTGTGTTTGCATATATGTTAACGACTGTGTGTGTCTACTGTGTTTCTGAGAGTGTGAAAATAGTGCTGTCTCTACTGCCATAAACTCTGGTTGCTCAGACAATAGACTTGAATCCCACATAATGTGACAGGCGTGGGAATGGAAACCAAACTGGCTGTAAAATCTGACTTTTCATAGACGCAGTAACATACTTGCCGCTGCAGGTAAACATGTTTATATCATACATAATATATCAGATATCAGTGATTGTGTAGACATAGTAGCCTTTTCAATTGCTTGAGTATTGAGTACCGTGGAGGAGACAAGAGGAATGTCAGCTGCTGTGTGAAATGGTGTATGTAAGTGGGTATATGTGCCTCATAAATATGTCACTTAAAGTATGTGTGTGTCTGTGTGTGTTGGTGTGTGTGGGTGCATGTGTATGTGTATGTGTATTGAGGCAAGGTTGGGCAGGCTAGTGTGTCATTTCCTGCAGGAAAATGATAGCAACTGATGTTACCACTTCCTTCACAGCATCGTACTGATGTGTCAGCTGAAATAAATAGTCCTCTGTCTCTCTCTCTGGGTTGTCTTCTTCTCCTCTTGTCTGACGTAGACAAGAAATAGGCATTAAAGACACACAGAGACATAGAAGAAGAAGAGGAGTTGGAATAACACAGCAACAGTGAAAGGGAGGAATGCAGTATTCAGTCCACAGAGCAAGAACAAAACTCAACAAATATTTGACAGAGTGCTGACAGTAACATGTACACACACACACACACACACACACACACACACACACAGAAAATGCCACCTAAACATCATAAACCACAGTTTGTTATATGCACTTTTGTGATGTGGTTGTTTGTGTGTGTGCAGCTCTTTCTGGTTCCACACAACCCATGGAAAGAAATCAAATCTAAAAGAACATTACAGTAAGATGTGAAGAATCCAGCTTTTATTCGGTGCTTCTATCCAAAAGGTTTAGTTTGGCTTGTGTATCATAAAGAAAAGCTGGGCTGTGTATCACTACCCAGGCTGTAGTGATACTATGGCCTTTGAGTGTACTATTACCTTTGAGTGTACTATCACCATAACCTTTGATAAACGTTGAGAGGTTCAGTGAGATGTTGTAATGTGAGATTAAACTGGTGATTCTCACAATCACAAAACCACAGATGTTATCAGCTGAGTTCCTGTCATCACTTCTAACAGATTGAACTAATGAAACACACATCAACGATGACAAATTCAAGTTTTCATGGACTTTCATGCATCAACACAAAGACCAATGAAACCAGCAGAACTTTGTTTAACATCTAGTTTTCACATATATTCTAAAAACATTGTGAGAAAATAGAGAAAGATGACGTCATGTTAAATGAAAATGTTACAGTCCAGTTTGGAAAAAAAAAGGGGGTTTGGATATTTCATTCAATTTAAAAATGATACAGCAATTTAAATCAATGAAGGTTTGGAAGAAGCAGATAAAAATATCATAATATACTGTTTACGTATCACTGTGCAGAGACTGAGTGGATTTATTTTCTAATGATGGCACCACTGAGGGGGTAATTCAAAGAAATCCTGAGGTTCAAACGATGTTAAAGTTACCCACTTTGAAATTATAAAATTACATATAAGCCCTTCTTTTGTTTTGTTGTCTATCCATTTTGGTTGCAATCCCACAACCTATAACCCTCTGTGATATGCCATACCACTGCATGCCACAGCCCACGTTTTATGCAATAAAAATATATAATATTATTTACTACCCAGAATAACGTGACCAACTAAAAAACTCATCCCAGCCTTGCAGGTGTTTTCTAGTGCTCACTGATGAATGTACGTAGGAGCAGAGTTTACTGACTCAGTATCTATGTTTTTTCTTAATCTGTTGGAAATTGACAGTAGAGCGGTAACTGCTCACCAGGGAGTGTCCGATCCAAACAGATAACTGTGATAAACTCCTCTAACAACATACTGTTTTCTTCTCACTCTATCCTAATATTTAACCCTAACCCTCCATTGTTAACACTTCCATAAAATGACATACACATTACATCACATGGTTGCAACATATGTTAAAACAACACACTTTATTCATGTCCTCCTCTTCCAGCTCCTAACAGCCCAGGAGCATCCTGAGTAACTTCTGAGTCATTATCAATGCAGTTAATCTTATAAATATGCTTCAGCTGCCCGCGGCACCATACCAGGTGTCGACACTTGAAATGTCTCAACTTGTGTTTACCAGCACAGATAGAAGTGCATAAACACCAGTGCTGGAGGAAGTATTTAGATATTTTACTTAAGTTAAAATTGCAATAGCACAGTATGTGCACTTTCAAGTTTCAAAAGCAGTATGGTTCAATTTAGAGTGATATATTCATCATCTATATATTATTGGACTATCTCATTTCAGGGGTAAACAGCATTTCAATGTCTTCAAGAAGGAGTTGATTTTAACTACTTTATAAAATGTTTGGGAAGTTTATTCTAACTGACCATATTTTTCATGTGTAAAATGTGTTTGCAAAGTTACACATGAATATAGCTGGTCAATAAACGCTCACAAGTGTAGAACAAAGTGCAATGTAATGGAGAAAATGCAACTTAGGGAACCTACCTGAAATTGTGTACAGATTAAATGTTCTTTATTACATTAAACTGCCAACAAACACAAGCGTATGAGCTACAAATCGTCAGGGAATCTGGAGAAACATAAAAGACACAAATATACAAAATGAAAAACAGCCACAGACACACAAAAGCATGCACCTAAGTCCAGTGGCTTGTATCACACGCACTGATACGCACTCAGCCAAACATCTATCCGCCATAGAGTGAGGTCACTCAGTAATAATGTGTTGTACAGCAGGTATCTCGGGAGAGGCGGCTGTTTAGTGTGGGACCTGCAGTGACTCCCATGCCACGTTCCTCTACACTCACACATAATAGCTGTTTTTCCTCGTTTTTGCTCGAAGAACTAAATGAATTGAACTGAATTGAATTCAGGTACAAGCAGAAACTCTCGAAGACACCGTCGTTTTCTTTTCTCAAAAATGAGCCCGCAGGCAATTAAAACAATTTGCCGCTTCCTCTATCATAAGAAATACAGATTGAATCTTAGCTGCTATCTTCTGGTATTTCCTCACTGCAAT